CCCCGGCCAGGCCCCACCCTGCTGGGAGCTTCAGCACCGCTGCGTGGAAAAACAGCAGGCCTGGGGCGGCCCCAACCACAGGCGCGCACGTGGGGCTCTCGGGAACCCCGGACCCCGTCCGGAGAGAGGCACCCTCAGAGCTGCCCCTTGCTCTGCCACCCACCCTGGGGCCGCCCCAGGTGCTTCCTGAGCGGACCAGGTCACCTGGACACGCCCCGAGAGCCCACCTGGGGACCGGCCCCCTGCCGCCCGAGGCCCCACCCCCCAAGGCTGACAGCTGAAACCGCGTCAGCCCCAGACCGAGCGGCTGCACCCCCCCACACAGTCCCGAGCACCGACTTCCTGTTCCCTCGGCGGCCCCGGCTCCGGCCCCCCCCGCCCCGCCCCACGTCTGAGCCGCTTGAAAACTCGAGGTGGGCCCAACGCCTCCGTGTCCCTGCCCGCGCGCGGCCGCGGCCTCGGGTGAGCGGGGCCTCTCCTCCCCGGCGCTCCCAGGCCGTGCGGAAATAATCCAGCCTCTGTGTTTTGACTCAAAACAAAGAAACTTTTAAAAAACATTTCAGTTGAAACTTGCATAATTCCTCCAGTGGAGAAACCCTCCCTGACTTTCGCAATCCTTAGAAAGAGACACATTATTGCTGCTTGTGCGCGTCTCCGGGCCACAGAGGTCTGTCGCGGCCGCTGGCCACGGGCACCTCCCGCCAGACAGCTGGGGGGCCGGCCGGGAAGTGCCTGGCGGCCAGGGGTGTGGACGGGGCGGGGGTCACGCTCTCCAGACGGCCTCACCTCCTGCCTCCCGCCGCGCCAACACCCAGCGCAGACGGCCCGCTGCCGGAGGTTGGGAAACCTGGGCGCCACGAGGCCATGACCTTGCCCTGGAAGCCCTACCCTGACCGAGGGACCCTGAGGGCAACAAGGGCGGGAGGGGGGTCCTCAACGACCCCCCCACACCAAGGAAACCCCGGAAGAACAGCAGTCCAAAGAAGGTTCTAGAATGGACAGGCGGTCGGCTCACCGCAGACACACCGGGGCCCAGCAACCCCGCCCCCGCCCCTGCTCACACGGCCGACTCCCGGGCGCAGGGCCTGCACGGGAGACCCCACTACAGCTGCTGTCCCCCCACCTCCGCTCCGGGCCTGCACCCCGACGGCCACACTGGCTGGCCCGCAGACAACCCCCCTCTCCTGGGCACGGGGCGGGGGGGGCCTCGCCTCAAAGCAGGACCCACGTTTTCAGCCAAGCGTCTGGAACCACGAAATCGCCACGGATTCCCCCCCACACACAGAACAGACCCGGTGGACGAAGGAACAGCCGACCCTCTCAGTCTCTGCCCGGCCCTGACGACCCGGGGGGAGGGCAGCCGCCCGGCGGGGCGCTCCTGACACCACTCCATCCCATGGGAGCCCCAGCTCCGAGGGCTGTCCGCAACCCCCCACCCCCTACCCCCAACCCCACACCTGGAAGCCACCGTCCCCCCCACGGGCACCGGGACGCCCCCGCATCGGGGGAATGCTGCGCTCAGAGCTGCGACACCAGTGGGGGGTGCGGGGAGAGCGTGTCCGTGCTGAGAACTCGGGCTCCCCAGCTGCGGGTGCCCACACTGCACGCCGCCCCCGGCCCCCACTTGGCCGCAGCCACGTGCCGGGGCGAGTCCATGGGAAAGAGCCCTGCAGAACGTGGGCGTCGGGAGGACAGAGGCTCAGCTCCTCCCGTCCGAGACCGGGGACTCCGAGCCGCAGGCAGCGCCCCCCGAGAGCCCAGCTCCCGGACATGCAGCCTGGCCTGGGGACCCCTCATGGGGAGGCCCCTGGCTACCCAGCAGCCGCATCCAGGCAGGCGGCACCCAGGCGGGCGGACCACCGCCTCCTCCGAGACCGACAGCGCCACGCGCTGCTGGGAAGTCAGCCCCGCTGAGTCCGAACGCCACCGGACAAGCCCGAGGGGACGGGCAGGGCGGACGGAGCGAGTGGGGGCCGGGACCCCCCTCTCCTCGCCACGATTCCCACCGCAGAACCGACCCGCTGCACCCTTCCCTGACGCCAACACCCGAACGCCAGAGAGAAGCAAGACAGCGGCGGCCACGCGAGGAGACCGAGGCGCAGCACGGCCGACGCGGCGTGCCCCAGGGCTCGCAGCCCTCGAGGAGCAGAGTGCGGGACGGGAACAGCCCGGTGGGGTCCGCACCTGGCCTGGCCCACCGCCGTGGCCACCCACGGACAGCCGCCGGAGGGGGGGGGGCTCCCGGGGAGGGACCCGGGACAGCCGGGAGCACTCACGCGGGGACGCTGCCACAGCGGCGACGTCGCAAGGAGGCCACCAGCCTGCAGGAGGCGAGCTGCCTTCACGGGGTTCCGAGGCGCAGAGCTGGCACCTGCCCCACAGCCGGCCCCACGCTGGGGCAGCCACAGGAACCACCAGCCCACCACGGCCGGGCCGCAGGGAGGCAGAGCGAGGGGAGGCCTGGGGGCGGGGCACAGCACTCTCACCGGCCCCTCCCACCGGCGGGGGCCCGGGAAGGTTGACTGGGTGACCCTTGGGCGGGAGGCCTGGTGGCAGGCACCTCGGCCAGCACCACCGGGGACGCGCTTCTGCCCACCAGCAGCTCTCCAGGACCCTCTGCCCCGGGAGCCTCGGCCCCACACAGCAGTTCTGCGCCTGCTTCGCCACCCCCTGTCCTCGCCCCCGGCACGTCAGACGCCAGGACGGGCTATGGAAGACGTGAGGAACCCAGACCCACTGTCCAGGGGCGTGCTGAGACAGGCAGGGTGCTGGGGGCGGGGGTCTTCCCGGCAACTCCTTCCAGAACAAGAGGGTCTGGGTGGCTACGAGTCCTCCTGCCCTGAAGCTAAGGCCCCCTCCTCACATGGTGCCTCGGGCACGCAGCTGTGCGGAGAAGACGGCAAGGGGACCACACACCCCAGACTCACAACCGTGCTGTCCCAGCCAAGGCAGCAGGGCCTCGGGGCCTGGGGAGGGACGGGCAGCCGGCCGGACAGCGCGTGGGCCTGGAAGGGGGCGCGCCAGACCCCAGGCCCAGGCCACCTCTGTGAGGGCAGAGCTGAGCTGCCCCCGGGGCCTGGAGACCCCGACACCACACGAGAAACTTCTCTGAAAGCAGCACGTGAGGGTTCTGAGCAGCTCTGGGAGACCACTGGAGGAACAGCAGGGGCGAGGGCCCTCTGCTGAGACGACCGGGGAGGGAGTGTGATCCAGCCCCTTCTCCGGGACTGTGGCTTAGGGGACAGGCCCGCCTGCTCCCCAGGCGACACCGGGGCCCGAGACTCAGGCCGGGCCCTCCCTGAGCTTGAGGGCGCCCGGCCGGGAGCTGAAGGCCCCGCCGCCAGGGAGCCTGGGCCCGAGTCTGCAGCCGCCACGGAAAGCCAGACCCGGGAAGACTGGAGCCCACAGACACACACGACCCGGCTTGGGACACGGACACGGACACACCCGCCTGCGACGACCCTGTGCCGTCCTCGGGAAGGGTCAGGGGCCGCCACAGCCTTGCCCACTAGCTCCCTTCTGCCACAGCCCACCAATCCTGCCCACGCCTCCCTCAGGCCGAGGCGGCCGCACAGGGCTCAGCCACCCCAGACGGAAGGGCCCCCGGTCCACAGGGAGGGTCCGCCGTGCCACCCAGGGCCACCTCCCCATCCGAGATGGAGGGCCCCACGGCGAGTCTCTCCGCCAGCACCTCCGCCGCACGCCGTCCACACAAACCCGCCCGCCCGGTGGCAGCCCGGCGTCTGCAGGACACTGCCACCTGGGCGCCGGCCACGCCGCGGGCAGACACGCCACCTGGCAGGAGCACGGCGCGCGTGTGCACCCACGGGGGCCCCTGCAAGCCCAGGCGGCGCGGCCTCGTCGTCCCCGGCCCCTCCCCCACCCCGAGACCGACGCTCTGCTGGAGGGGCACCCGGAGGAGACCGGGCGGGAGACTCTCTTCGCAGGCTCGGAAAAAGGAGTTCGATGCAACGGCTGAATTCACGAGGCCTCCCCAGGACAGCGGGGCCGGGCCAGCGTGCTGCGTGTGCAGTGTGGTGGAGGACCGGGCACCGCGGGGGAGGCTGCCGACGCCCGGGGAGGGGCCGGTGCCAGGGCCGTTGGTGGGGGCCTCCGAGGCTGCTCCCCGTGTCCGGCGGCCGGGGAGCTGCCTGGGTCACAGACGTCCCCACAGGCAGACAACAGAGCCTGGGCCGGGCCCTCCCCGCCCGCAGCGCCCTCCAGCCTTTCCGGGAGAGGGAGAGGGAGAGGGAAACGGGCGAGTCCAAAACAAGTCGAGAGCCTGGGCCGCCCCGACGCGGGGCCCCGAGGGCCGAGGGACCCCAGGTTCACTGCCCAGAAGGCCCGGGGAGACGCACAGAGCTGGAGCCCCCAAGTCCCGGCCCCCGCGGCCGGCGCCTGGACACCTAGTTTCGTCGTGTTTTTAGCGTGTCTCCCGAGACTCCAAGGCACCAAAGGCTCCGCCTGGCCAGACCCTCTCTCCCAGGGGACCCCGGGCAGGCAGGCACCTGTCTGCGAGCCTGGGACCTCCGGGTGACGGCAGTGCCCTCTGCCCCCACCCGGCCCGGACACTCCCGCGGGCACCCCGGGGGAAGGCCTGGGTCTCCGCCTCCAGCCTGGGCCCAGCCCGGCCCTAACTTCCCGGGCTCAGGCAGGCGCGTCGGCGGAGCATGGCCTGCCCTTCCCGGCCCCTTTGAGCAGTTGCTGAGCCTCAGGGGGGCTCCCCCGCCCGCCAGGCGGGGCCCCGGCCCCCACGCCGGGCAAGCCGGCTGGTCCCAGGGGTTGGGCAGGAGAAGGCCCTTCCTCCCCAGCTACAGGGCCCTCGACAGAGACTCCGACCAACCCGCTTTCTCTAAGACAAAGCAAAACCCTGAAACGCGGGAGCAGACAGAAGCGCAGGTCTCAGCCTGCAGAGACAAGAGGCCCCGGCCAGAGAGGGTCCCCACCCTCTCCCCAGCCCTGCCCCTCCCCCCCCGCCCGGAGGCCGCGGGGACACTCACCCGGGGCACCCGCCGCTTGTACTTGTTGCCGTAGTCGAACTTCTCCTTCACGTCGTCCAGGCAGCGGCCGAGGCGCGCCTGCTCCTCCTTGCCCGTGTAGTCCTGGCTCAGCAGGATGTAGGCCCGCCAGTTGGCCGAGTCGAAGCCCCAGTGGCAGGTCCGGTTCTCCAGGGCCTTGTGCGAGTGCACCACGAACTTGTGCGGCGGGTACATGAGGCGGCAGTCGAGACACTGGATGCAGGCGGCGCTCGGGCTGCTGTAGAGCTCCGGCACCAGCAGCCCCTTGCACTTGCCGAAGCACTCGTGGTACACGCGCACACTGCGCTCGCTGAGCTCCAGGCCCAGCGCCAGGCTGGCGGCCAGCTCCTTCTTGAAGGGCGGCGGGTAGGCGCCCCCGTACAGCAGCGCGTTGCACAGGCGCTCCGCGTCCGTCTTGGTGATGAGCCCGCACGAGGGCGCCGAGAAGGGCAGAATGCCCATGACTTTGAGGATCTCCAGCTGGTCGGCCGTGCAGCGCGAGCAGTAGATGTGCAGCTCGTCGCACACCGAGTTGATCTGCTGCAGCGAGAAGTCGCGCAGCACCGAGTTGAGGATCTGCGGGAGGCACAGGCGCTTCTCGCCGCCCACCACGAAGCACGAGATGGTCTCGCCCTCCAGGACGGTCTCACAGCGCTCGGTGGAGCGATCGGACGGCATGAAAAAGGGCCCGGGCAGCACGGGCGGCGGCGGCTGGATGGCGGGCAGGTGCAGCACGGGCGGCGGCTCGGCGGCCGCGGGCACCGGCGCGGGCACCGTGGCCGCGCCCGCCTCCTTGACGCTCTCCTTCTTGTAGGCCTCCTGCGCCCAGCGCGCCGAGAAGGCTGCCGGGCCGCCCAGCGAGCTCATGGAGCTCAGATGGAACTGCTCCAACGTCTTCTGCAGCCCCGGGTGCGGCTGGAAGCCGCCGCGACCGCCGGCCGCCGCCTCCATGGTGCGCTCCGACTCCCCGGGCCGCTCCCGCTCTCGCGCGCCGGGACCCCCGCGGCCCCCGCCGCCGCCCCGCGCGCCCCGGCGGCGGCCCCGGCCCCGGCCCCGACCTCCCCCCGCCACCGGCTCCCGGCCGATCACGGCCGCGGCCTCGGCCTCGCCCGGGGGCGCGAAGGGGAAGGCGGGCGGGGCGAAGGGGTCCCGCCGCTGGAGCCCGCCGCCGCCCGGGCCCGGCGCCACATCCACGCGCCCCACGCCGCGCCCGCCGCCGCCCGGGCCCCCCGCGCGTCCCCCGCGCGCCCCCCGGGCCCCTAGGCGCGGGGCATGCCCCGGCGCGCGCCGCCAACGCCAACGCCAACGCTCGCGGGCCCGGGGCTCGCGGGGGGCGCGCGGGCAGGTGCCGGCGCCGCGAGGCGCGAATCGCCGCGGTGGCCGAGGCCAAGGGGCCCGGGAGGAGCGGGGGCGCGGGCGCGGGGCCCGCCGGGCCGTCCTCGCGCGGCGCGCCGCCGCCGCCCCGCTCCTCCCACCGCGCGGCGCCCGCCCGGCTCGTCCCGGCGGCGCTGGCCGGCCGCGTCGCGTCCGCCACCGGCCGGCCCGGCCCGCGCCCACCCCGCCGCCCGCGCCCGCTCCTCGGCCCGCCCGCCCGCCCCCCGCACGCGCGGCTTCCGGGGCGGCCGAGCGCCTGCGAGGCGGCCCTCAGAGCGCGGCGGCGGCGGCGGCGCGGGGCTCGGCGTACATCCTCCCGGCGGCTCGCTCCAGCTCGGACTGAGTGCCCGGCGCTGAGCTCACGCCGCCGCCCCGCCCCGCGCCCCGCCCCGCCCCGCGCCGCCGCCCCGCCCCGCGCGCCGTCTGGCCGAGCGTCCCCTCCGCCGAGCGCTGGCCAGGAATGCGACCGCCCCGCGGCCGGCTCTTCCAGGAGCGCGCTCTCCCCCCGCCGCGCTCGGGCCGCTCGGCCGCGCTCGGCCGCGCTCGGGACTGTCCGCCTGGGCCTCGGCCCCGTCCGCCTGGGGTTCGGCTCCGCTCGGGCGCCCCCGCCCGGAACTCGGCTCGGCTCGGCCCCCACTCGGCCGCGCTCGGCTCCGCTCGGCCCCGCCCGTGTGAGAGTCGGCGCCGCTCGGCTCCTCTCGGTCCCGCCCACCCGGGACTCGACCCTGCTCGGCTGCCTTTGGACCCGCCCGCCGGAAGGCCGCTCGGCGGGGGCGGTGGCGGCGGCGGCGGCGGCGGCGGCGGCGCCGGGGGCCCCCTTTCCGGCTGGGGCCGCTTCCTGAGCGGCTGGGAGGGCGCCCGTCCCACCGCCGCCGACGCGGGCTCCCAGAAAGCCACACGCGGCCCCGCCACAACCGCAAACCAGCTAAGCAGCGGGCGGGACCGTACCACGCGGCCCCAGCGCACGCCTCGCCACCCCCTCCGGGACGGGGACGCAACACAGCGCGGGGCCCCCACGCACGGTGGCGATGTCGCAGCACGACCTAGGTCCCCGCAACGATGGGGACGACAGGAAACACGACCTGGGTCCCATCCACCACGGGGACTCCATGCAGTATGACCCAAGGTCCCATGTAGGACAAGGACGCCACGAAACACAACGAGGGTTGCTAACGCGTTAGAGTGGAAACACGACGGAGACCCCCCCCACAGGAGGCAGACACACCGCCGCAGTCCCAAGACCCCCCCCTGGCGCGAGGCCGCACGGGCCCTCCCCCCGTCCCGGGGTGACAGACAAGCAGTGCCCACCGCCAGCGGACCCACCACGCAGCCCACGGGGCTTCACCCCTGCCCTCCCCCCGCCCCAGGCCCGACCGCCGGCTGCAGGGTTAGCGCGGTGTCCCCAGAGACAGTCGGTCCTGCGTCCAGGGCGCTGTGCCCTGTGCCCGGCCGGGTTGCTGCCAGGGCCGGGCCTAGGCTGGGTCAGCGGAGCCTGGCCCCTGCGTGCCTCGGGCGGAGCTGGCCGGCGGGACCCTCACCCTTCAGCTTCCCAGGCCAGAGAGCTCCATGCACCTTTGCAGGGCCCTGGGGTGTGGCCGGAGTGAGCCCCCAGCGCCTGTCCTTCCCGGCATTGGCTGTGTCGTGGGGAAGACACAGAGGGTGTCTGCCGAGAGCCGGGGGACCCGAACTGGGTGGCCCCCAGGGGAGGCAGAGTCCCGCAGAGGCCTGGGGGGTGGGACCTGAAATCAGGGGAACCGTCCGGGCCATCTGGAACCTGAGTGAGGACGGGCGAACAGGCCGGCAGAGCAGGGCGGCGGCACCTCCTCCTCCACGCGTGGAGGGCGCCCTCACCGGCCTGGCCACCGGGGGACATGGGGGACATACCTGCGGTGCTGGGTGGAGGCCACGGTGCCACAGCCACTTGGGCCTGGGTGACCTTCAACCTGCCACCTACGGCTCCTGCCTCCCTGGTAGAAGCTGACCCCAAACCAGTGTCCCCGGGGCGGTGCCTGCCCAGGGAGCCCACCGGGCACCTCTGCAGGACTGGATGCTCGGGCAGGTGCCTGGAGAGGCAGCCAGGGGGTGGGGTGGGGTGGGGGGGCGACCTCACACCCTCAGAGCTGAGACCCAGGCCAGCGCAGGACTGTGGGTGGGGCCTGAGACTCAGTGGGGGGCTCTGTATTTGAAGCCCTGGCCGATCCCCACCGCAGACGGGCATGAGTCCCGCCCCCGCCCCCACCTGTGTGTGCCCTGGGGACGGTCTGGGCCTGGGGTCACTCCCGGACCTCCGACATGCAGCAGCCCCCACGCCCGGCTCCTCTGTGTTCGGACCTGAGAAGGCCGGGAAAGGGGCGTTTGGAGACCAAAGCAAAGGGACTTACTTGTGCTCAGAAATCATTTTCTTGGCCCACGCTCGGACAAAAATGTTTTTATTTCCCCTGAGAGCATCGGCTCTTTCCGCTGGATTTGAACCCGGCACAACCCCGGGCGGGGCCTGTCATTGAGAGAAGGTGGCTGGTGGGTAAGCGAGCACAGGACCAGCCGGCAAGGGCCTCTGGCCCCGGGAGGATTCCCTCCTGCTCCTCCAGCCACCAGGCACGCACCCCCCCCACCCCGCAGTGGGCGTGCTGGCTCCCCCACTCCCCCCCGCCCCCCGCACCTCTGGCTTGGCGGAGTTCTGACAAGGGGTCCCAGGAAGAGCCCGGCCAAGGGCGGGCAGGTCCCCACAGCCACAGAACCCAGAATGAACCCAGCGTGGCTTCCAGAGGGGTGTGGTGGGGGGCAGGGGAGGGTGGAGGTGCCTTGAGGGGCAGAAAGGGAGGTCAGCGGCTCTCGGGAACCCTGGGGAAGTTGAGGCCTCCTCCTGGAAGATGCCAGAGCTTCCGGGAGCCGCGGAGCCCTTGCCGCCCGCCCACGACCAAGGCGTCAATACTGAGCCAGCCAGGCCCTGTCTGCTTCCGAGCCGGAGCCTCGTGGAGGTGCTGCTCCCTGCCTCCTGGCCTTCCTCCGGCAGCCACTCTGACCAGCGGCCCGCTTCTCCCACTGTCCTGAGACCACGGGCCAGGCAGCGTGCCGGCCAGCGGGGGGCCAGGGTGTGAGCTCGGCCGCAGTCAACTTGGGGGCTGAGGCAGGGACCCGGCCCCGGCCCAGCTATGGCTGTGGGCGGCTGGTCATGCGTGTGTCCACTCACCCAGGAAGCACACGGAGCTTACACCCTGCAGGCACAAGCCAGCTTCTGGGACCAGCCAAGGTCTCCCTGCATGGCCCCTCTCTCCTACCGAGACGGGCGCAGAACAGAGAAGGCTGACAATGGAGAGAGACCCTGCAGGCCCTGAGGGGGCTCCCGGGGCCCCGGGGCTGCGGTCCTGGGGCGGCCACGCTCCCGGACCGCGGAAGTGAGGGTGCTGGCGACTTCAGGGGCCCCTTGCCTCGGGAGGCGCTCCCAGGCGTAACGGGAAAAATGGGCCTCGAGGCTCAGGTGGGCTGACCCCTCAGGAGGACCCCAACAGACGGCTTGCCCTGGGCGGACGGCTCCGGCCTCCCGGCTCCCACCGGCCCCTGCTGCTTGCTCCCTGGGAAGCGGAAGGAGCGCCCGGTTGCAGCTGGGCACAAACCACCACTGTGAGCAGAGGGCTAAGGTACCGTCTTACACCCCGGACGCGGTGGCTCCGTGGACTGCGCCCCAGTCCACCAACCGAAAGGTCGCCGGCTCGATCCCCAGGCGGGGCGCGTGCCTGGGTGGCAGGTCAGGTCCCCCCGGGTCGGGGGTGCGCACGAGGCAACTGATCTGTGTCTCTCCCTCTCTTTCCGCCTCCCTTCCCCGCTCTCTGAAAATAAAATCTGTTTTTAAAAAAAGATATCATCCCCAAACTTTAAATTTGAAAAAAAATTCTCAAGAAACATGATCTTGATAAAAATTTAGAAAAGACTTTTGTCTTCATTTTCTCGTTCCACCGAATGTGACTTCGACACAAAGATGGGTGCACACAGCTCCCCGGGGAGGCGATCCTGGGGCTCGGGCTGGGGGCCGGGCGGGGGGGGAGGCGGGGCCCAGGCGGGTGCTGTGCACCCTCGGGCTCCAGGAGCCGGATCGTGGGGCACCTCGGGGGAGGGGACAGCCGCCGGCGCGGGGAGACCGGCTGCCGACGGGACTGAGCGGAGGAGGCGGCGCAGGGCAGGCGAGGGCAGCCGGGTGTCCGCCGCCCAGACGGAAGCTCACGCGGGGAGGGGTATATACACAGGAGCCGGGCGGGGCGGGGCCGGAATTCTCGGTGGACGCACGTTGGTGTTTGTGAGCAAACAGAAGGGCTACAGGTCTGGGTGTGTTCGCACAGGCCTCTGCCCCGCCCGTGGGCCTGCCCAGCGCGAGGCGACACCCCAGCGGCAGGGAGCCCCCCGAGAGCCCCCCCCCTCGTGCTCTGAAGTCCGTCTTCTGCTGGAAGGAACCGGAGCCCTTCGGAGAAATGCTGGTCCCGGGGCGTGGGCAGAGCACGTCCACGGCAGGTCTGAGACCTGTCACTGTGCCGGGAGGTCGAGGAGGCCTTAAAGCACAACAGGGAGGGGCCAGAAGGACACGGAGCCCCCCTCCCCCGGGGGCCCCCCCGGCAGGCAGCCGGAGACCACTCTGCTGCTCACGGATCGTAACGGGGGGTAAAATAGGGAACCACAAGTCCGAGCATATCTGAATATTTTTAAAAGATTTTATTTATGTATTGTTGGAGAGAAGAGGAGGGAGGGGGAAGAAGAGGGAGAGAAACGTGGACACGAGATCGTTTCCCACTCATGCACGCCCCCTACTGGGGACCCCCACCGCAACCCAGACGCGTGTCCCGACTGGGAATCGAACCGGCGATCCTTCGGTTCGCAGGCCAGTGCTCCATCCCCTGAGCCACACCAGCCAGGACTGTTTTTTTGCAATAAACACATTCGTAAGTGGGCAGTTGGATGGGAAGCAGACCACTTGCATGGCTTCAAAGTTCCTCCCACAAAGCTCCCGTTACTCACGGCGGGAAGAGGGGTGAGGCCCCGGGGAGACGCAGGCAGACGCCACCGTCACGGTGGCCACCCACACGTCACGCCTGCGGGTCTCCTGCCACAGAGGCGCAGCCTGCATCCGACCGGGATGAAACCTCGGCCGCCCACACAGAGGGACTTTGTGCAGGACGGGCCCAGAGCCCTCCGAAGGGTCAGGGCCACGTGGTTGGGGAACGGCTGCGGAATGTTCTGGACCAATGGAGACCAGACAGCTGGGGAGGTTCAGCGCCGCGTGAGGGCCCGGGCTGGATCTCGTCTTGGCAAAGGGCGTCGGCGGGACAGCGGAAAAGCCCGAGACGTGATCTGAGGAGCAGACAGCAGCCACCCCACCTGGGACGGGCGCTGCAGCCCTGCGGGAGGGCGTCCCTGTGTGTGGGGGGGGAAGGGCCCCATGGGAGCGTCACCTGTCCGGTGCCGGGTGCGGGGGGCACTCCTGAACGGTCTGTGTGGGTTTCTGGGGAGCTGGGCACCGGGGGAGCCCACGGGTGCGTCCAAGGGGGCCCTGCGGGGGGCCGGAAGGGACACAGCGGGACACCTGGAGCATCTGCTGCGGCTCCCAGCCCCAGGGCACGGAGCTGCCCCTTCCTCGTCCCTCGCCACGCAGGCCAGGGGACACGGGGTGGGGGGGATCTCACAGTGTCTTGGGAAGAGGCGCCAGGAAGGCCGCTCCCCCGTGCCGGAGAGCCGCGGGGGGGGCGGGTGCAGGAGAGGCGGCCGTGTGAGCAGGGCTGGCGTGGCCCCTGCCGGGCGGGGGTCCACGTAGGATGCAGGCCCCTTCCGAAACAGGGCGGGCACCAGGCTGTCGAGGCGACCAGATGAGCTGCGTGCAAAAGGGCTGTTCGGTCCGTGAAGGGGACGGAGGCGGAGCCCAGGGAGCACCAGCCGGACCAGGACTGGAGGACGGAGGCTGGGCTACGGGTGTGTCCGGCCAGGTCCAGGCGTCCAGAGAGCCAGGAGAGGGCAGCGGGGCGCGCTGCAGGGACGGGCAAGAGCCGTGGAGGGCGAGGCAGAGCCGGCGAGCTCCGGAGAGACAAAGGGGGCGTCCGAGCAGGGCTCCCGGCCGGCCCGGGTGCCCAGTGGGGGGGTAGTCTGAACCGCCAGGGCGAGGACGTGCCGCGGCCTCGTCGGGGAAGAAGGATGGAGAAGGCTGGGGGGGGGCGAGGGTGCTGGGCGAGAGCCCTGGACGGACGGCGCGCCCCGTCCGGACCCGGTCGACGCAGAGACACGCACGTCGTCGGAGACGCGAGACGAGCCGCAGAGGCGGCCTCCGGGAGGCCCGAGGGGCCGTGGCGCGGGGCCAGCATCAGGAGGGGCTGAGGGGGGGGGCGTTGCAGACTGGTCACATGGGGGCTAACCCTCTGGGCCCTCCCCGTTCTTGTCTAATCTGTGTCTTTCTTCGATAAGAATCAAAACAAACAAACCGGGACTCTAAACTAAAAATAAATAACAAAGGGAAACAAACGGACACTCTCCCCGCAAAACAGCGCAGCCCGGGTCGCCGCAGCGCACTCGGACGAGCCGTCTGTCCAGGGAGGGGGAATCAAAATGGACTCGCGTGGCGTTGCGGCCGGACGGCAACGAACACACCCGCGACCGGACTCCGCTGCGGCCGCCACGGCGCTGAGACCTCTGCAGCCCGCGGTCCCCGTGTCCGCAGTCCCCGTGTGGGAACACGAGGGAGCGGTTTCTGCCGAGTGCGGGAACTCCGGGCCCTTGTCGTTTCTTCTTTGTGCCGACCTGCATCTGCTGGTTTTCCAGAAGAGCTGCTGTCAGTTCGGTTGACCTTCCCCATTGTTCCTTCCGGGCCATTCTGGCCGGGAGGGACCCTCCCTCCCCCCACGGAACCTTCCGTGGGGCCAGCCGTGGGGCCCGCAGAAGGGCCACCCGCCCCGAGTGGTTGAGGGTGTGCGTCCGCCCGCCTGGGGCGGCTGGGGGCGTCACACATGGGTCCCCACCCGCAGCACAGAGCCAGGACCGGCCTCGCAGGGTCAGTGGGGGTGACGCCTGGGAAGCCAAGAGCAGGGCCAGGTCCTGGGTGCAGGAGTCCCACTGCTGTCACCCGGGGGAGAAGAGGGGCGACCCCAGCACGCCGCCAGAGGCGCTGGTCGGACAGTGGATGCCTGCCCACTCTGTGCCCCCTCAGTCTTCCCGTGTGCCCCTGCTGGCAGCGCCCCCTGGGCCTGCCGCCCTCATGTTCCTGGAGGAGGGAGAGCGAGAAACAAGGGGCTCTGTCCCATGCCACGAGGAGCCGTCCAAGTGCCCCCACAGCTTCGTGGCACTGCCAGTCCAACACGCCGCCTGGCCTCTCGGGGCCCAGCCGGGACACTGGGCCGTCCTGGGAGCCGGATGATTGCTTGACCAGTCTCTGGACCCACAGCCAGGATGGGAGGGGGCTCGCCAGGCCCCCGGCCCCGGGCCAGGGAGGCCAGGCTGACTCTGGAGCCCCTGCCCCAGAGCCCCCCGCGCAGCCCCTGCGGGGCCGGAACTGGGCGCCTTGGGGTTGAGGAGCAGCAGCAGGAACAAGAGCAGGGGGCGTGGGGGGTGGGGGCAGCAGGGACACGGAGGCCTCAGCTCGCCTGGGGCTCCCAGCCCAGGGGCCTGCTGGCCTGGCCCTGCGGACGTGTCCTCGGCGGGGGGGGGCCACTGCAGCCGGGGCCGAGCCCAGAGTAGCTCGGAGAGAGCCGGCGCCCGGGCTGCCCGCGGGACCCTGTCCCCTGAAGCGTCCTGTGCTGCTCTGGAATGTGCTCCCTGTCGGCCCTGGCCCGCCAGGGCTCTGGCCACACCCTGCCGATCAAAGCCTGGCCGCCTCCTGCCTGCGCCCTGCAGCCCGGGGGCCGCCGGGACCCAAGGCCAGAGCCCCGTCCTACGTGTAAAGCACCGCAGATCAGGGATCAGGGGCAGGAGGGTTGGGGGGCAGCAGGCGGCAGGGCTGGGCTGAAGCCTAGGCGCTACTGGACGCCAGCAGGCCAGCACAGGGGCCCCGTGGGGGCATCAGGGCAGGTCCTTGCCCAAACAAGGTCCCCACCTGCCCCTCCAAAGACAGCCCCCGGGCCTGAGCTCAGGGCTGCAGCGGGCTCAGTGGCTGGGTGTGCGGGCAAACTCACGCAGCGCGCCCTGGAGGGCGGTGGTGCCGCCCTCATGCACAGCAGGACAGGCTAAGGCTCAGGGCGGCCCAGATGCCGCTGAGGGCAAGGGGATGGGAGCCCAGGCGAGGCCCGGCCACCACCGCAGGGTGGCGGGAGGCAGGGGTATCTGAGCACCGACCCCATGCAGTCCGTCTTCCAGTCTAATGGAGGGGTCACCCCTCCCAGCCACCCAGCCCCGCCAGAGTGGTGCCCTCCCCCCCACCCCTCCCCCCCCACCCCCGAGAGTGCCCCGCTCCAGGACACGGCCCCACCCCACTCCCTTGGGCCCACTGCGCGCCTGGCTGCCTCCCCTCTGCACAGGACTCCGGAGCAGGGGCTGCCCCGCACTGCCAGCTGCACCGTCCCCAGCCCCGTGCCCCCCAGGCCCTGGTGCCTCTGTCACTCCACCGTCCTCCTTCCGCGTCAGGGGCCCCAGCACTTTCCCGGCCCTCGAGTGAGTGGTAAGCGGCCTGGGGCTGTTCTGACCAGAGGAGCCGGCGCCCAGGCAGGGGCCAGGCGTCCCCAGAGAGCGGCACCGGGGAGGCAGTTCCCACGGGCCTGCAGGGCACCGCCCTGGGAGCCTTGGGCCGCAGAGCAGCCTGGAGCCCCGCCGCACCTCCCCTCTCTGGGCCTGAGGTTGCCCCTCTTGAGATGGAGGCTGGCCTCGGGCTGGGGCCTGCCCAGAGGCGGGGGGGGGGGGGCGGGCGGGGGACGACGACACACCACATCCCAGAGGGAAGGAGCATGGCATGGCGGGGTGCGGGGCCGGGCCTGTGGCAGGAAGGGGGAAGGTTTGAGGTTTAGGCCACCCTCGGAGCAGCCCGCGGGCAGTCGCTGGGGCACCAGGGCAGGGCCGGAGGCGGGAGGGCGGAGGGCAGCCGGTGCCCCCTTCCAAGGCTCCCGCGGCTCCCCGGAGGGTCGTGGGTGACTTGGAAGAGGCCTCGCTCTAGGCCTCTCGAGCCTGCCAGGGTCTGGCTGCAGTGGGGAAGGGGGGGAACAGGGCAGGCCTGGCCACGCCCGTGCCCCCTCCCCACGGGCAGGCCCCACAGCCCCTCCGGCTGCACGGGGCCCCAGGCCCCTCCGCTCGCTCGAGGCGGCCCCGGCCCGCCCCCCCCCCCACCCCGCACTGCTGGCAGGCGTGGCGGTGAGCTCACCCGGCTTACATAAGGCACGCGAGCTCTCCCCCTGCTCGGGGCTCCCTTCCCCTCTCCCCTCTCCCTCTCCGGGGCGCCGGCCCCCACACACCCCGGGGTCCCGGCTGCACTCCCAGGGCCCCCTCCAGCCCCCGCCCTGTGTGAGTGGGAGGCTGCCCCACCCAGGTGCCCGCCCCACCGCCCTGAGGACCGGGGCTCCCTCCTGGCACCCCAGGAAGTGGCACCCCGGGGTGGCAGGGGAGGGGGCAGCAGGGAGACCCAGGCCTGCGCTAGCCTGGCTCAGGGAGGAGGCTGCTGTCCCCAGGGCCACGGCGGCGGGGGCGGGGGGCGGGCTGCTGCTGACAGTCATTGTTCAGGTCGGGGTGCTCTTCTTGTCTCGATGCTGGGGGCTTCCCCTGCTGGCAGCACCCCCCGCCCCCGCCGTGCCCCCGGCTGCTCTGAGGGTGCTGGGTCCCCTCAGGGTTCCGGGCAAGGACACTGCAGCCAGGACTGATGCCCTGGGGAGGACCAGCCACCAGACCCCACTCTGGCCAGCGCAGAGGCCTCCAGGGAAGGGCCACCTTGGGGAGAGGGCAGCGCTGCTTCTGGAGGTGGGCACCCCGCCGCGCAGCTGCTGGGGGTCCCAGGACTGGGCTTGCCCGCTCTGTCCTCGGCCTCCCAGGGCCTCCTGCCCCGTCTCTGTGGCCTGAGACCGAGGGTCACCCCCGGGGACACTGTCGACGTCCAGAGGACACCACGGAAGGCACAGGCCAGCCTCGGGTGTCCGGCCTCTCGAGGGGGCCGGTGGGCAGCAGGACGGCCGCCTCCTCGCCTGGAAGGAAGATCCCCAGGGGGCGGCTTTTCTCAGGAGTCGTGGACAGGGCGGAGTCCCTCAGAGGCCGGGCGCCCGGGGATGGCCCCACCGCCCGGCTTCCTCTTTCTGCGGGAGGCGGGCAGGGAGGGGGGGGCGGTGGGGGGAGCCTCCAGGGCCTCCTGCGCTGACCTCCCGCGGCCCCGCCCAAAGGAAGCCCTAGCGCTCCGGACGTCCAGGCGTCCCCGGCCGCGGGCCTGCCACACTGGCCACACCCTGCTCGGGGACAAAGCTCCCAGGCAGCGGGGACAGGGAAGCCTCGTGCCAGCGCGCAGCGGCGGAGCCCGAAACCCCGAGGCCCCTCCCGCGGACCGCCGCGCGGAGGCCCGGCCCCGCCAGGAACAAGCCCCAGCCTCCCTTTCTTTACAGAGACTCCGTTCTTGGAACTTACACCCTCCTGGGTTTGCTATTTTTACCCACCCTGAGCCTTCCGGTCTCCATGGCGACGCCTCCAAACAGCAGATTCCAGGCAGCGATGACGTCACCTCTCCCTTTCCTGCCGCCCAGGCCTGGAGGCACAGGCCCGCCGCCGCAGGCTCCCGCGCACGCCCCCTCCCCGCCCCGCCGCCCGGCGCGGGGCCTCCGCGCAGCGCCCTCGTTCTGGCGCCCCTGGGAGCCGCTGTGCTGCAGCGCCGGCCGGCGGAGGGCACAGGCCTGGGGGCTGCGCCGCCCCCGCCCCCCCACTGCCGCGCGGCCGCCGTGAGGGAGCTCCACAGGCCTCGGCAGTGGGAGAGGGGGCGGGAGGCGCCAGGCCTCGGCACGCGCTGCTGGGGCCGCTGGCCTGCTGGCCTGGGGAGCCCCTAGGCAGCGGTGCCCCGGGCACTGCCCTCGGCCAGTCGGTGCCCAGGGTGGCTGTGAACGCGGCCCGACAGGACACCGTGACTTTACTCACAACCGTGTTCCTGCCCGTCAGCGTTCGTCAGTGTGTGTGTGTTTACTGTGTGGCCCAGGACAGCGCTCCTTCTCCCAGGGTGACCCAGGGACGCCACTCGGTCGGACACTCCTGCCAGCGTCTGCGTCAAAGTGGTGACCGTGGCTGGGGCTCAGAGAGGTGGCAGTTGTGCCGACAGGGCCTCGGCGCCCGCGGCATCTGGCCCCTCGGTGGAGGCCGTTGGCCGGGCACGCCGGTCCGCTGCGGCCGCACCCTCCCAGCCTCCGCTGTGACCTGGCTGCTGAACCGGGGTGGGGTGGGGGCCGTAGCCCCCCTCCGGGCCCAGGTCCCTCGAAGTGGGTCACCAGGCTGTGCCTCTGGCTGGGCCACGCTTTCCTGCCCCGGCCCTCAGCCTGCACCAGGGACGGGTCACTCCGGGCTGGAGGGCCACCGCCGACCGGGATGCGATGGGAGGGCTGCCTGCACCCTGGGTCCCCGCTGCTGGAGAGGCGCCCCACCCCTGGGTGCCGGCTCTGCTGCGGGCTCGGATGGGAGACGGAGCCTCGCAGGGGCGACCGCCGCCCGGGGAGCTGGGACCCGCCCGGTCGCGAGGGCTTGTGGAGGCCTGCCACCCTGCCTGTGGGTGCTGGGGTCCCGTCCCCGCAGGGGGCCTGCCCCTCCCACCACCCCTCGTGACTAAATAAACTGCCGCTCCACCCCCGCCGCCCTGGCCTGGAATCAGACGTGGTCTGGGGTCGAAGGTCAGAGAGCACGCAGGGTTGTGGAGCTCTC